AGGTCTTCAAGGAGATGGACTGACACAATGGCTGCAACAATGGACTCAAGTTTAGGAACTGTTGTGGAGATGCTGTAGGACCAGGTATTGTTTCATTCTGTTGCATAGAGTTGCTATTGGTCAGAATCAACATGATAGTGCCTTGCACCACCTCCACCACTCCACCACCCTTGATCTCTCTCTCTCTCTCTCTATTCATATATCACTCTTTATGAAGCATGATTTTGATGTCCTTTTTCAGAGAACATGAGCAATGTACGTGAGACAAAAATCTCATCATGCTTACGTCTAAAAGCACTCTGGATGTACTTCTTCCAGATAGATTTGTTGATTCTTTGGCAGTCCATGGTATTTTCTATTTTCTCCACCAGCATCATAATTCAAATGCATTTATTCTTCTTCTTCCAACTTTCACATGTATATGAAGCAATTAAAAATTCCATGGCTTGAGTCAGACACGTCTTAGTCCTCAAAGTGATATCACTAAGCTTCAACATTTTGAAGAGTTCTTGTGCAGTCGATTTCAATGCTTTGCTTGCTACATCATTGAGAATGCTACAATCCTTTATCTTCATCAGCAAGTACTTCAAGTCCTTGATTTGAGCAAGCAAGTCTGTATCACCTGCAAATTGCAAGTTGTTAATAATCTTCCTCTAATCCTAATGCTAGGTTGTTATTCATACAGCCCAGTTTCTGTGTTTGCTCACATTACAGATAGAATACATAGAGTGAAAGGACACAGCCCTAGAGCCCAACTTTCTTGATTTAAAACCGTGTTATATTCACTTTTTCTGTTCAACAACTGACTCTTAACCCACGTACAGGTTCCGAATGAGCAAAATGTAGGGTTCTGGGATTCTCATTTTCTGCAGTACCTTAAGCAGCCTCTTGACCTGTCCTCTCCTCTGCTAAAGTAATGCTCCAAAGCTCTTATAGGGCTGTCAATGAATGGCGAAAGGCCATATTACTATGTTTTTCAACCTGAAGCCACACAGCTCTGACTTGGTGGGTCAGAAAACTCAGCACCCCTAATTCAATGCCAGGAGACAGACCACTTCTCAAAAGCGCTTAGCTTCTAGAATTTTGTGGCCTGGGAAGTCTTCAGCTCTACCTCATGTTCTGGCTCTTGGTTCCCCTGTTGCTGCTCCTCAACCACTTCTCTGGTGTCACAATTTCTTGATTTGGGAGATTCAATGGGCAGGCACCTCAGGGTCCAACGTACATATTTCTCCCCTGGCTCTATTCTCTGCTGGAGTGAGAGCCCACTTCTTATTTCTGAGATGACTAATTTTATGCCTATTGTGATGGCAATTACAATCAACTCCATAACAGTCACACACAATAGTATCATTTCCCCACAATCTCTCATCCCAAGTCTATTAGACAAGAGTTTTGGGTGGAAGTTACAGACCG